GGCCAGAGTTGAGCATCAATTGGGTGGCTTAGATCACAGTGCTCACACATTTAAAAGATGTAAAACATTTAAAGGCAAAAAAAATGTTTAAAAAAAGTTATTTGGTTAACATATGGATAATTAAAAGTGTAATTAAGCACACTGGTCAATTTTCCGGTAAATTCTCTTAATCAAGAATTTACAGTTTTATTTCTATGGGAGTGCATGCAGCCTCTGCATCCCGTACATCTTACACCTGCAGCTATTCTGGGAGCAGTTTCTTGTTTGCACTGATTTCCCTGCCATTTTCCTGGCCTCTTCCCTCTGAAGGGGTCAAGTTCTTCATTGTCATGTCGATCATGGAAAAGAAGTTATAAATCACCTTGTTAATCAGTTACTGTGCTGTGCACACCTCAGAACCTCTGTTACAAGAAGTTATTAACTTCATACCAATGCAGAAAAGATTTCTTTCCAAATATATCCTTGAATGCAGCTGTGCTTGTGCTTTTCTGAGAAAACAATGAATTCTGCTTTGTAGTTTATCATGCACAGTGCCCAAGTGTTCAGTATGGGCCCCTGAGAGAATTGGTGAGCCCTAGTTCTTCCACCCTAAGTCCCTTTCCCTTGCAACACAGTAATTCTCCCAGAAAACCATGGGAAGCCCACTTTCTCAAAGGACTGACTTCACAGAGCACATCAATTTCAAAAAAGGACTGCCATCAACATTAACAATTAAACAGGATGGCAATAATAATGGTGAATGTTTAGTAAATATGGGAGAGTTTCCTGAATTTTAGACACATACTGTCTCATGATCACACTAATTGGGAAAACCAACTTACCATGTTGGATTTGATATAACAAAGCACTAATTTACAAGTGCGGTATTCAAAAACTCTATCCCTGACAGCAGAGCCAGTGCAGACTACTTTCGACCCAAATGCTCTATACCTCTGGGGACATTCAACATTCACTGGGTTAGAATTTTATTTTGGTTGTGAGCACGGATTCTCCAAACCACACAAGATTTGCATGAGCTCAGTCAGGTGGATATATCAGTAAACTGAGCAGGACAGGTAGAGGTAACAGGTGCCTCTCAGCACTACCTCCAAAAACCACACATTCCTGAGTACACAGGATTATTTTTCCTTCATGCCACGAGTCCATCACCTGTCAGTTGTCACCGGCTCCATGTCATCCTCATTCTGGAACATTGGCTACAAGACAAGTCTTGATCTTGAACACTGTCAGGTTTTGTGCCAGACAGAAAAGAAAATGAGGTAGAGTCCTGCAAACGTTTTAGCATGTTCACTCTGAAATGACAGTTACACAGGTCACACCCGCTTATGTTTCTTTGACTCCATCAGATGCAGAACAAAATGAAGAGGCAGCAAATATTTTGAATAGCAGTGCGATACTGGAAAAGTATGAGTGGTGGTGGGGGGCGGTTTGTAAAAGCCTAATCAAAGCATAAGGCCCTGGAGTAAAACTACACTGAGGTTTATCTGCAGTCCTCTGAGTCTTCACATGTGCATTTGTAAAATGGGGCATTAATGACCCAATGCTGCCAATTTCTTCAGAAATTTATTTAATCATCAGAAAGTGCACCATGTAAAAGGCATCTGAAAAATTCACAACACTCTGCAGGTAGAGATCTTAGCATTCGAGGCTACTCGTCATACTGAATATACATGGCAGAGTCTAGAGTGAGAGGACATCACAGTATTCTTCATTCATCAAAATAACTTCTTACTGCAGGGAGACACAGTTTATAAGACTATATTTTCAGTCTCCAAATTCAAGAAGAAAGACCACCAAGAGGACCCAGTTGCTGTACTTTCCCTGGAAGTTACTTCTAATCTATTATAATGGGCCAGAAACTGTTTAAGACCAGTTGGTTGAAAATGTCATTACAAAGAGTAAACGCTTCTGCTCATCAGGTTCTTAAATACTGAAATCCAAGTAAAACCATCTTCAAAATAAAGACAGTTCCAGGTTGAATTGCCAGCTAAATTGCAAAAAGAAGCAGCCTCCCGTGAATTGTATCATTGCCAACAAAAGGTCTTATTATTTCCCATTGATTGGCCAGGAGTTCCACTATCTCTTCTCCTTTCCAACAATCTCTGCGGAGCAGGAGTCCTTAATATACCACAGCTCCTCAACTACCCTAGGAAGTTAAGAGCATTGAAAGCCTTTTTTGCTTCTTCTTGCACTAATAGCCCAAATAGGCTTTTCAAGATGGCCTGGACAATGCAAGTAATTCTGTGTTCTAATTTGCAAGCCAGTCTTGTTCACTGGGGTTTAATAATGTGGGCTATTTTTGCTCCATTCATACAGGGTAAAAAACAGCTTGCATGAAGTAGTTTCTGAGTTATCTAGTTCACTTTAGGTGAGGGTGAGCCAATATGACTAGACTTCAGTACCTAACTCTAAACTTGTCTGACAGATTATTCCAGAGGACATTTCTTAAGACAGAGCTAGGAAAATGGTCACAAACTCACTTTAACCATTGAAAATGTTAGGTAGTCCTAGCTTTTGCCACCCCCAAACCAACTCCCAATCTTTTCTGTTGCTGCATCCCTATTTGGTTCACATCAAGGACAAAGATCATTTGCTGTTAAGAAAGACAGACTACTCCAGCTCTGCAGCATAAGTTAGCTCAAGCCAGTAGTGGTCATTTCCTTCCTTTTCCCCAACACTGGTCTAAGAATACAGTGAACACTGGGATTTAATGCAGGTCTGAAAACCAAGACAGGCCAAGCTTTCTGTGCATGGTAGAGGTGGGGCTGGAAGCCTTTCTCTGAAGGAAACTCTTTCAACATAAAAAGACAGAACTCCACATAGAGAGATTTATGCTTCCCACTCCTTCCTTCCTTGCTTGCTTGGGATGGTGCCAGGCCTCACCATGACTGTGGCTACAGCAGCCACCATGCAATCAGGGGACATGCTCCAGATGGCTGGCTAAGGTAGGAGGCATCTGTTCCCACTGGCAATGCAGACTCCATTCTATCCTCAGAGCCTTTCCTCCCGGGTTTCAACCTTGCTATCCTCTCTGAGCTCTGTAAACTAGAAGACCCCATTCATTCAGTTTTTTCTCCTTAGGGGCCTCCCACGAACAAGTGTCCTTGTAGAAAGTCTCCAGGAAAATGGAGAGATGACGGATGCCCACGCCTATCACCATTACCCAAGGAAGCACCAATCACCCAAGGAAGACACAGACCACCATGGCCCAGTGAAGACACTGAGCTAAGTGGGACTTGTGCAAGAAGAGTGACCTAAGGCCACTTAGCATCATATCACAAGGGCTCCCACAAAGGCAGGTTTAATGTCACAGGGGGCTGCTCTTAGAGCTGAGTCCAAGGGGCAAAATAACATCATGAAGGTGGATGCAAGCAAAAAGAATTAGGGTCAGCAATTATCTCCCCCATTCTTCCAGGTCTCCCTAGCTCAGGAGGACAAAGAATGGGGTGCACTGAATCCATGGGACAAGTAAAAGGTCTGCCAGTGTTCATGGAACCAAGATCCAAATTATTTCCATGTTCTTGCCATCAGTATTGTAATTGGTCGGAATCCATCTCCACAAAAAGCAGAAAGTAGGAAAGTAAGCTAAGTTTATAGGACCTTACCTGATAGCATTTTTTTTCCATGGTGAAGAAAATACAGACTGCTCATAATTTAATTTTTCTTTTAATGACTTAAATTTTCTGCTAGAAAACTGATAAGGTAAAATTTTACAAATACACTTTAGTGTGAATTATTCAAACTTATAATCCACTTCCTGCAAATTAACAGTAACATGATACTAAAGGGTAGATTAAAAGGTTCTAGTCAAAGAGCAGCTTCATTCTCTAATGAACACATCTAGAAAGTAAGCAAAAGGATAGAAAGGTATCAGAAAGAAAAGGAAAAAGTGTTAGAGTACTGCTAATTAAAAGGAAAGGACAAATTAACAATATTCCTGAAGCTATGAAAACCAACAGCTACCAACCCTGGAAGCAAACAGATACATTTCCTCAACAACTGCTAGTCTTTAGCCACACCCAAAAAGTTAACCGAGGAGAAATGATGTAGAAGTGAAGAAGGGAAAGGAGTTTACTTACTCTTACTGGCAGAGATCACTGTTATCCTTACCTTGGGAACTCTCAATACCAACTTCAGAATCAAATGCTTGTGGAGCAGTGACCAGATTAACTCAAGAGAGCTACCTCCCCAATTACCAGATCACCATGGCTTAATATTTAATTAGTGACAGTAAAAGGAATGACCGCAATGATAGGAACTGGGACACGAAAAGTGTCCAGTCATCCCCTTGCCTGGTAGAAGTTTTCTAATCTGACAGGGGAGAGCCAGAGGGCACCTCAGGAAAGGGTGGGCTCAGGTATTGCAGCAGCACCCCTACACAGGAAGAGCTAAGCCACACCTCTGCCATATTAAAGGAGCAGGGCACATGGCACCCACCACCAATCTGAGTTTGGAAAGAGTCATTCACATGCAACAGAGGAGTTGCTCTGCACTGTGAGGTAGAAAACTGCACCACAGAAACCCAGTGATTAGGTCTGAGCCCAGGAGCCAAACTCATGAGTGCTATCACTGCGATTCTTAAAGATCTGTAATCGGCAGCACATGAAACAGTCACTAAGAAATCCAACTGAAAAAACCCTGACCTTGATACCTGAAAAAGATGACAGCTGGGATTAAACAAATGCCAAATGCTATTAGAAGAGAATCCAGCACACAGTACATAACTAAACTTGGAGATGGCAGTCTCCTCAAAATTGAAAGTGGAAGCCAAGTGTTAGGATCATTCTGGTCAGAAGACACAGTGCCACATGGGATGTGCTGAGTCCCTGTGTTCCTCACCAGCTTCCAGGACCTTGTTCTGTCAGGTGAGATAGCCTGGATAAAGCCAGAGAGCAGAGCACCTGGAGTAATGTAGGGTGTTTATAAGCCCCCAGGAACAAAGGCCAGAGATGGCTTTCAGTCTTTACCCCATCTCTCAGGAGCCTGTTCCTCCTCCTTACCTTCACAGTAGGCAGGGTCTCCTTGGACAGATATGTAACCACTCTTGCACTCACAAGTCGCTTTCATATTCCAGTTTTTGCACTCTGAGTTTTCACCACATTTAGGTGCTTCCACGCAGAAGTTATGACCTATAAGATGCACACAAAACTTCAGATCAGGAAAGGAGGAAATAGAAGACCTCCAGATGACAAAACACAAACCACTTGTTACTACCTGTCACAGTGCATGAAAACACACATTAGCAATGTACCAAGCTGGGGTGGATAACGATGGAAAAGAGACAGGAAACTTAGGACCACCTCATCACTTATGGGTTCTTTTGCTTGGATACTCAGATTACTAAAGTCATTCCTACAGAAGGCTTTTACCCATGTTGCTCCTCTTCTTATCTCCTTCTTATATAATTAATCTTTATAACTGTTTTAACATAAAACTTACAATACACACAAAAGATTGGATTTTGTGTTGATTTCTCTCTTTCACATATCTATTATTTTGTCATACACAAGCTCTTATTCTCCAATAAATATCACTTAGCTTTGGACATTTTAATGTCCATAGAAGTAAAATTATGTTGTGCAAGTCTATAAGGTGTGCTTTGTTCTATTCATTCAAGTTAATGCCTGAAGGTATCGGTTGCCAATTCTGTATACTATTCCATAGTATGAAGATTCCACAATTTATTTTGAGTTATTTTCACATTTTGAATTATAAACAAGATTGCTACCGACATACTTAAACATGTTTCAGGACAATCTTTTTAAAGCACATATGTAACGTTTTCTTTGCTCAATATCCCTTCCAGAATTACTGGGAATCTCTTCAGAGTAATTATTTTTCTTCCTTAGGAAGATCCTTTAGTGAAGATCTTTAATAGTTACTGTATTAGATTTTAATTGATCTGAATAGGTCCATAGACCATCTTCATAGTTTACAGTTTTACTATATTTAGTTTTACTATCTCAACATATTTAAGATTTTATTTCATTTCTTATAACTTCTATTGATTATTAGGGAGTATTCAGTTGCTAATCTAATTCCTTGTTCTGTAGCTACCTCTTTTCTTTCTGCTTACGTTAAAGATCAAGTTTTTGTTTGTTTCGCTAGTTGGTTGCTTGGTTGGTTGGCTCATTGCCTCACTGGTTGGTTGGCTGGTTGCTCACTGGATGGTTGATTGTTGGACTTCTTGATTGGCTCATTGACTGATTTTGCTTTATATTCTTTAGTTTTACTTTAAGATCTATACCTGTGCATTTATTTTTATTTAGGGTCTTGGAATTCTTGAGTCTTAGTGTCAAGGAACTCTTTCATCATTTTAGGAAATTATCAAATATTCTTTCTTCAAACATTGTCTCTGTGAGCACTTCTTCCTGCTGCTTAGATTTGCTTTCATATAATACATATATTTTCCTCTCTACACTGAATGACTTCCAGATATGTCTTTCAGTTATTATTTCTATCTTGAGCTGTGCCACATTCTGTTTTAGTCACCGATATTGGTGGAATTTTTACTTACTATATTTTTATGTTCTAGAATAGTGTTTGATTCATTTTTACCCTGTTTATTCAAATTTGATAGTCCCTTATTATTTCATATTTTAAGTTTATTAATTTTATTTCTTTTAAACACTTTACACATGCATTTTTACATGAATAATTCCAATATTTTCAATTTGTATACACACAATCATGTAGTTTGATGTTCATGCTAAGTGTCACACAAGATGCTTTTGTGTTTCAAGGAATTCTTTTATTTGCAACCTCATATCCTTTGGAATTTAACCTGTGACAATCATTTGAGTTTTGGCTTTAAATTGCATTTCCTCAGACAGTATTTGCGCTTGATTCTGTCAGTTGCCTGGGGAATTATCAACGTAAGATCAGTGTAAACTACACTTTCGCCTTGGGGATGGGACTTAACCAAGAATAAATTGTAGCGCTAAGCTTTTGGGAATGCAAATTTTCCCTTGTAGACCACAGCCTAGACTCAAGGCTGACAGGCATGTCTTCCCTTGCACAGTGATTTTTCTGCTAATTCACCCACAGGAGGTTTAGCCTTCAAGGTTCTTACTGAAGCCATTCACACTAGGCACAAGGTGTGCTGTCTTCTCACTGCGTCCATCAGAAGCCATGCCCGAAATCACACAGGACTAAAAGTGTTCTCACGACAAATGTCCACCCAATGTACTTGCTTATTTTAGAGTCATCAGAATTTTTCAATATTTTTTGCTTCTCATTTTCCTCTCTTACTCTACTACCCTAATTCTAACCTTAATCCCAGCCATAACCCTAAACCTAACCCATCAAATTTCCAAGAGGAAATTGTTTACATATCATAGAGCACTTTGAGTTGATCTAGGAGGAATAGGTTAGACCTCTATAAAAGTTGCAAAGTTTCAGTATAAAATATTCAAAGGTATTTTATCATCTTTGAGTTAGTAAATGTTAGCAAATAATAATTTCTATGTAGAATCACACACTGTGGTCTGATAGAAACAAATAGATCTAGGATAATCAAGATATGTGATTTGTAATTCAGAGTCTGCATCTGAGAAATACTATAAATCACTTTGTTTATCTAGGTACATATCCTGGGAAATGAAGAAAATCAGTAATTTTCAGTGCATGTTCCTCAGAGCTCTGGGCACAGATAAATTGTTACACAGAGTTCAAGTCCCCTGGCCCAATTCAACAGGATAGCTGTTTCCATATTTTTGACATGTGGATCATCAGAACAATGATTTGGGGATTAGAAAATACAAAAATCGCTGGACTAGACAAACTTCCATAATTAATTCATTTCAACAATGAGATTCTAGGATGCTTATATCTTTGAAATTGAATTTTAAACCAACCACACATAGGTTATATTTAATCTGGAAGATTAAAATACATTTTATTAAATATTACCAATAAAATTCTACTGCATTTTTTAGGTGGGATAATACTAGCATAATACAACTTATCAATATGTCGCTGAGAAAGTGAAGTGGGCTGATGCATGGAAACCACTAGGAACAGCTCCAGCTACACACGTATCCAGAGTCTCATCAGTAGGCAGTGCCCACAGTGGTGAGGACGCGATGCAATCAGTAATGATGAAGTTCAGAATAACAGTGCTATAATTTCGAGATAAGAAAAGGGAAGCTCCAGCCTCAAATCCACCAACACCCAGCTCGTGGTGGCAGTGCCAGGGTTTTCAGTCAGGTCTGGCCAAGTGCAAGCTCTGTCTGCTCCCAGTATGTCAGTGTATACCTTTTACCACAGCAAAACTCAGCAGTTAAAAAGCGGAAAATGTACCACTTCCTAGGCTGCTGGGAAATACTTACACATCCCTGGGGAAGTGGTGTTACTCCAAGCCTCATGTCTGTGACCTGTAACTGCTGAATGTCCCAATAACAAGAGGACTAAGAGGTGAATTTGTTAGCAATCCAAAGCCTCTGGCGCTTGAGAACATTTCTACAAAGACTCAAGGAGCTCACGACCAAGACTGCAAGGTTTTTTCACTCCAGGAATGATTTTAGGCACCAGAGCTCCCTCTGCCCGAAGAGCCTGTCCTTCAAGTGCTGCATCAAAGCTGACCGATAAGTAGCTGTCATGTTTCTACTCATCATGAGACTGGAACCAGTGCCACAGGTTCATCTTTTCTCATATGTGCTCTGTGCTGTATTTCTCTTCTCATTGTTTCTGGGTGACTTGAACTTTTTTTACTACATGCCTCTGACAGCACGGGTAAAAACTTTCCAAACACCACTGCAAACATCTCAAAGCATCCACATTATAATCCATAAACATGCACAATTATTGTCAATTAAAACAAAATAGTTTAAACATTCTAATTTACAGTACGAAAGACAGATTTTTCAAATGTACATCATTCTATCAGACATGTGCCCTGTCCACTCACAATGCAAGGAGTAGGGAAAATTTTATCCCAAGGTCGGGGAAGGGCCATGTGACAAATCTAGTGCCGAATCCATTGTGAGTGAGTCTCACCACTGTGCCACAATAACTGTCTGTTTAAATAACGCAGGCCACCGTTTGCAGTACTTATTCAGGGCCACCTTACCACAAGTGAGGGAGCAACCATCCAGCCAGGATTAAATAGGTACCCAATTTGGGGACAAGCATCCGGAAGCGCAAAGGTATTTAAAATATCCCCTGTGCACAGCTATGTTACAAACTCTAAGAAGAGGTAAGTTACATATGGGGAGGCATCAAAACTAGGCAATCCACATGTAGTGAAATATGAGCGGCACAAATGTTCTCACATGTTTCAGAGACAGAAAAATCATTTCTGCAGGACACAAAACTATGTTACATAGGAACTTGAAAAAGAGCAGGACACAGATCCTCATGGGGAGAATGCAATTTTAATCTTTATGAAAAAGAAAGGATAAACTGGGCAAATCTTAAATAGTCTGGCACGGGTATAGTAACGATCATAATTAACATTTTTTGAGCACATGCTATGAGCTTGGTAACCAGCTAAGTGTTTTACATGCATTATCCCATTTCATTCTGTTAGCAACTCTACACAGCAGAATTATCAACCCTGTTTTACAAATGGAGCAACTGAGGTTGAAAGATGCTGCTGCACATGTGTAAGGCACAGAAAGTCATGACCCAAATCTGACTGAAGCCAGAGCTTTTAATCAGTATTTTCTACTCCCTAGAGCAACAGATTCTGAGTATTCTATCTAAAGGATAAAGACAGTATCATTTTATATGCACATATTCAGTCTACAAGGTAAATTCTCACTTTCCAAACATCTCCCCCTCCTTTCTGCCATATCCTAAGAAGCATAACTTTAATCACTACAACTTCTTTGCACTAGATTTTCTGTCTAATTCATTACTCTTGACCAAAACCTTCTTTCACAGCAATGGTGCTGTGGATGATGACTTACAGAATGGGTGGACAAATGGGCAGACAGAAGTCTTCAAATTAGAGGTGGAATCAATGGATGGGTGAAAACAGCAGGGCCGTGCAATCCCCCATCATAGCCAACTGGAAGGCAAATCTGACTCGTGTGCTAGTCACCATAGTTCTGTCCTTAAATCTTTTTATGGAGGTACAATTTACATACTATGAAATCTATCTATTGCAAGTAGCAAGTCTGATGAT